ACTATGACCTCAGAGAAAACCGACGTGAAACAACGCTTGCGTTGTGTTTCGTCGTGTGAGTGAGGTTACCGGAGGCACAATTACCCCCCTTCCTAGTCTCCCGAATCCCCGAATCTTCCACAATCCTCAAATTCGCAATTCCCAAAAGGCCGGAACCGCACTTGTAACGCCTTGGTGTTCCAGGTGTTCATGGGCGGCGCCGATTGCTTACCATCAGGTGATCCGACTGCTCGTTTACCGGCTTAACCTAAAAAAAAAATAGTTCAAGTTCGATCTGTTATAAACCTTGACCTCATTAATAAAGAAGATCTGTATTCATTATTTCTTAATATTGTCGTAGTCTAGCAATTATTGGCGCCCAAGTGGGCAAAAATTTATACGTACCTACAGGCAATAAAAAACTATGAATGACCTAAATTCTATAGACCGTCAGCTGTTACACGTGTTTAGAGAATCCCAGTTACTATCACTGTCAAATGTTATATAAACAGTATTAGGTAGGTACCGGCCTGAAAGTTTCAGTGTTTTAAAAAGAAGTTGAACGGTAATTGAAAAATATTTCAAGTTTTACACTTTACCACTTGGACTTAAAAGAAATATACTTAGTAATACTCATAGCACTTGTCGCGGAGAACCTAACGGGTTTCCGGGGCTCCGGCTCGACGTGCAGGAAAAGGAACGGGGTGGTTTTTAGTCAGTAAGAGTCTGACACTCCCTCTCGCCTCACCCAGGCGGGAGCAGTTATTCGATGATTTTCCCCCATTAAAAAAAAACTCATAGAACTTCTTTTTCTTTGTAAGTATGAGAAAAGTGGCAAAGTATTAGAAAGTAGGTACCTACGTACATTACCAGTTATTATGTAGTATAGTACTTGTACTTACTATGTACCAGAGATTGTAATAGGGACCAAGCCTATTGCCATAAATCACAAACCCAGACTCGATTCCACTACATAAGTAATTCAATATCGAAAAAATCGATGCCCTTTTTTCTGGGGCAAAACGCTAAGTTAGGAACAGAATGATGATGTAGCGTTGATATTATTAGTTTAATGTATAGGTACTTACTTACGAAACCTTCTGACATTTCATCTTAATTACTATTTTGTTTTAGTAAACTAAGCATCCCTAATTATTCTAATACCTGCCTGTAAATGTTTAACGTTGGGTAAACCTTACTTACGAATTCGGTCATGAGTAAGCCCCGAGAGAATATTACTTACCCTAATCACTACTTGACAGACGGATTGGTTATCACGATACCTACTGTAAATCTTTGGTAATGTTTAGAGCAATTATAATCATATATATGACTTCACCTATTGTACCGAGTACCGACGGAGGTATAAACCGTTGCATATTACTAAGAGTCGAGTGCTGGTTCAGAGCTTTGTTCGTATTTTGTTAAAAAGAATACTTTACGTCGTGGATATAACTAAGGGTGCTTTCACATTTAACTCGTTGAGTACCGTCATTATAGACACAATTATAGAACAATAGGTTGCGGTCACCGGTGTCCTCGCGGTGTTTGGCAGTTTAAAATGTAAAACTTTGTTTGGATGTTTGTCACGCTGGAACTACTGAACGGATTTTGATGCAATCAGGTATATAGGCTTTATTTTTTAAGGCTTTAATTTAAATGCTTCCATTGGATAAACCAGGAATCATATTCTAGCCGGACCAAGTCGCGGGCAACATCTAATTAACAATAAGGAATAATATGCTTGTATACGAATAGGTAGGTTTGTCATTCACAATATCAATCGGATCACGATAAAAAGAAAAAGGAAAATAAACACAAATACGAAACGAAAATAGTAGGATAGTGTAAATATCCATTAGTTTATCCTATGGTGGTAATTTGTATTTGTATGTGGGTCAATCGCCCCTTTGCTCTTTCCACCGTAGTTACAGCGTAAATAACACAAATGAACGAAGACGGTCTTATCTTCGCATTTCAATAGAAACTTCCGGAAAACACCGTAAGGTTTTCCTAGCCAGAAAGATCACTTCTATTGACCCTAGTATCACGCTACTAATGATACTTCACGTGCATTTTTAATTAAACGTCAAGTGGGGATCATGTAATGTGTAGTCCACCCACACACATTTGAATTTCTAATCTAGTTAACACAAGATAATGGAAATTAATGACACGGCCTACTTAACTAGTTGCTTAGGATACAAATAAAGGTGAAGATAACATTCGTAACGCCAAATCAAGTCAGGGAAAGTACCAATATAATTAAAAATGTAAGGTTTATCCGCCGTTTATCCCTGCAGGGGTAGCCCCCCTCCCTGCAGAGGTAGGTGCACATTATGGCACTTAACTCGTCGAGTACCGGTTTTGCAGACACAATTATAGAACAATAGGTTGCGGTCACCGGTGACCGCTTGGTATTTGACAGTTTAATGCCACTATACAATGTGATACCCACTTTTCACTATTTATGTTATAAGTTATGAGTTCCATGTAATAGGCAGTGAGCCGATTGCCATATAGGTGCCGGGCACAATTCCAGACTCCGTAGTCCGTACTACTACTGAGAATCGAACCCGAGACCCCTTGCGCAGTCGATCTTGCGACCACTCGGCCAACGAGTTAGTTGGCATCTTTATTCGTAGGCCATATTTTTCTGCCAGTTTATGAAATCCCTGGAGGTAAAACAAAATACCAATCAACGCCCGCAAATGAATAAAAGTTGTCAGCCTCGTAAAAACTACAAAATTCGATTAGGTACAATCCAGACGGCACAGTCGGGACGAGAGTCTAACAAAACATTTCAATACAATAAAATAAAAGCTCACAATATTTTTCCACACAGTTTCCAAACGAAATTCTCATGAAACAGATTTGAACCGCTAATATTTTCGTTCTGATACTGTTAGGAATTATGTCGAAGATTGCAGTGTTAAGCTATATGGTACTTAAAAGTGTTATTATTTACTTATTTATCGGTTTGATAAATTATTTATTTATCCAAATGGAAAGTGAGTTTTTTATTAATAACTCGTTCTACAAGTAAAAAAACACAAGTTACAATTTTAACCAAACCTTTTGCACAATATCCACTAACTTGTGCATATGACAATTCAAGAAATGCCTTATTCAACGCAAACAATTAGCCGGCCGTCGAACACCGTAGTTGGTGTCTTGCACAAGCAAGTTATATAATAAGTTTGTACTTATGGTAGCAAAATTTTACTTTCTTGCTTGTGCAAGACACCAACTATGGTGTTCAAAGATTTTATCATAGGTACAAACCTATGATAAAATCTCTCAATACAAAAATAAAAATTAGTATAGTCCTACATAACCGAACTTCCATTAGACAACGCTTGTAAAGCCATTTGTGTATAAAATATTTGCAATTTGCACATATTTGCACCACATGACTAAATACGAACACACACACACACACAAACAACGGCAGTAAAAAACATAACAAAAAACCAAACTTATTCAAATATACCTACTAGAACACAAAACACAAAACGCGAAGGTAACTCAAACCCACTCGACACCGTTGAAGGCAATATTTACCAAATTCATGTTTAAAAATGCACTCCACAAGTCCTTACGTAATGTCAATTAAATTGTAGAACAGACTTCCCACACTTATGAAAACAGAAGAGAAATGTGATATATTAATGAGAAAACAAAAAAAAATGTTATTTACTTGATAAAACATACTACCTAGTCAGTGTAGTACCTTGATGATAGACATCTCAACCAATATTTTATGTAAAACTGTTAGTACCCACTAACTAAATTACATTTTAACTTTTAATTTGACTGTTCTTTGGTTGTATTTGACTGTTTTTAATTTTAATTTTGATTATGATTTACTTATGACTTTGTATTTAATTTTGATTGTTTAAGATCTTAAATAAATCTGACTCCTAAATATTACTAAATATTACAATATAACTTAATTTTATCTTGTATTGCATTTGTTATCGATTTTATTGTAAGTAGGTACATATTTTTAATCTTCGAATGACATGTCAAACTGTATTTAGTTCCCTCCAATTCTTATATTGTTGTACCCCGGAAGAGTCGTCGCGGAGAACCTGCGGGTTACCGCGGCTCCGGCTCGACGTGCAGGAGTAGGAACGGGGTGGTTTTAAGTAAGAGTCTGACACTCCCTCCCGCCTCACCCAAGCGGGAGCAATCATTCGATGATTTTCCCCCCTTAAAAAAGCCCCAAGAGTCCACATTGTGTCCTAATTATGTTAACCACCTAATTCATACATGTGCAAAGCAATAAAGAATTGAGTATTGAGTAGAAGAAAAATATTGTTACCAAAATGTATGTAACAAAAACTTTCTTATAATAACGTGAACGTAATATCGTGAGACATACTAAATTAACTAAAAAATTGCGGATTACTCACGTGATTACTGAGAAAAGCTCTACTAGTTTCGAACCACAGAGGGGTTCTTCCTCATTAGCAGCGTGCGCGGTCGCGGCGATGTCGCGCAGCCTACGCAAAAACATCCTTCATCGTCATCATCTACATAATTTAAATAATAAAACATTCTAGTTTAAAATCAGGCGGGAATAGTACACGGCAAAAAAGAGTGACATTGAAGGAAAACGAAACCACAGATACATTAACCAGAACCATAGAGAATCGATTACAACTGTGTCAGAAAACTGATAATGTTGTTATAGGAAAATTTTGCTATTCTGAACGATAATCACATAATAAATTTATAAATTGAAAACATTTACAACTATTCGACATGGATATGAATCCCTTTCGAGATCCTAAGGAAATTGTGATTTAATCTATAATATTGTCTATGATAATAATGAAAACTGTAGTGGATTGACAAAATAAACATGAATGTATTTATTTCAAATAAGGCGTGTAGGTATTTTATTAAATTTTGAAATATCTTAATTATAAGACATTGAATGATTTCGTTGAACTGGCAGAATCATAAACAAAATAGAACAAGGAAATCGAAGGACAGGGGACGTCGATCATCTTCATCAATCATAAATAATCCAATATGGCTGACTGCTTCCAATGGGGCTGTTCGCGGTTAAATTTTACAAATTTGCTGTTGTAATAAAATAGTTTCAAATGATACTACATTGCCTTACATTATAATGTAAGTCAATGTACCTAATGAAGACTTTCCCGTAAGTAAAGTGGACGAAAAAGTGTAATTATACATGTTATCCTTGACATGCCATGGGAAAGTTGCGAAGTGGCCTCCGTATTTTACTTATATTTGCTACTTACAATCTCAATTTGCAGGTATGCTGAAGATGCCAGTTAACTCTGTAACTGAAACGAAAAAAGGAGTCGACAGATCTAGATTTTCCCTGTCATTAAATAGAAATAATGCAACACTGAGCAACGAAAATAAGGAACTGACAGAGAACTCGAAGGAGAACAGTGACCCTTTTAAGCAAACTACTAATAATAATAAAGAGAACAAACCTGTAAAAAGGCCTTTTAAAAGTGTATACTCGAATACTTTATCTGCTGCAAAGAGATTGAAGCCTCTTTCGGAGTCAGTGAAGCTATCAGGTATTGTGTAACTTACCGGTACTAACCGTCGCTATGTGCAATACTCCGGTTATTTACTAGTTGTTCTCAGTGCTTTATCGAGAAATCATGTGCTGTGTGAATTTTGTGCAACTGTTTTAGATTGACTGCAATTCGTACCCTATATTAAACTTAGTATGTTTCATTATGCATACACCTTGTCAAACTATTAGGATGATTGTTTTAAACATTAAATAAGTAATTAAAATAGTCTTAAACTTAATTTCTTTAATCATTAGTCAAAATATTACCTACTCAGTGTCATTAGTATACTTAGATAGTGCATAATTGATTTAACAGTTAATAAAAATATTGCAGCCAAGCCATCTGACATAGAGTTCATACTCTGGGAGTCTCCTCCTGCCAGCACTGCCATGTTGAATGGCCACACATCAGACAATCAGTATGCAGGGAGTACACAGCGTAAGACTCCCATTGCCACCTTGTCTAATTTGGGGAACACCTGCTTCCTCAACAGTGTGCTCTACACTTTACGGTAATTATACTTTTATTTACATTACTATTTGATTATTTATTGTCTTGTTTATGTGTTATTTTGCCATGGAAAATGCTGTTTCAATTGTAATTCACTATGCAATCCATTATTTTTAAAAGCATTCCATGATTTTTAACTCAAAGAAATATATTTGCATGAACTTTGTCCGAATTCAATTTGCTTCTATTCCATTATCTAGACAAAGATTTACATTATCCTAATTTCTAAAAAATCAAGACAATGAATAACTATATATAGGTAACAATTTCGAATATGTCAAGTTTGTGGTTCTCCACAAAACTATTGAATTAATATTTTTTTTATTAATAATTAATATCTGTCTTTCTGTCTTTTTCAGATATGCACCACGCTTCCTTCACAACCTGCACCATCTTGTGTCTGACCTAGCAAGTGTGGAACAGAAGTTGGGTAGCATCCGACTGAAAAGTTCCTCTCTTGGTCGTAGTGCAGCCGGCTTGGCTTCTTCGGGGACCAGATCTTGGAGCAGTAAAGACCTTCTATCTCTTGGACAATCTGATAACAGTGCTGGGAAAAGTAAAATACAGGTAATGTAGAAAATTGTTGAGTAGATAAAGCATATATATATATATACCAAATAAATAAACTTGCTTTCACATTTTATGATGTCTTTTTGGGACTAATCAAATCTTGCTTTTATAAATGAAAAGAGGACTTAATGTCTATTATTAATAAAAATTTAAATTAAATATACAACCTAAAATATAAATAATTAAATACTAAAACATTTACACCTTAAAAAAATGGAAGTAAACTATATTAAGCCCTCTTTTCATTTATAAAAGTGACATTTTTTATAAATATTAACACAATTTCAATCTTGCTACATATATTTTAATACAATTCCTTTATGAGTATAGCTATTTAAGTGACACATGAGGTAAATAATCTAAAATAAATCTTAGCATGACTCTGTAGGCATTTTGTTGATATTTTGTTATATAAACCTGTCTGCTATAAGCTGAATGTAAACTTGTCAAAATTGTAATGTGATAAAAGAAATTTGTTTTTACATACAATTAGGTATAGTATGTAACAGTGATAAGGAAGTAGTCACAAGTTGTTATGTGCATTAGCCCATAAGGCGCACACCTGCACAGCTATCCTAAAATATAATACTATATCTTGTTGGTCTATTATAATATAAACACTTGACAAAATGAGTCAGAAAATTCTCAATATCTATAGAATATCTACAGGATTCTGAAAATCAATAATGTTTTAGATAAGCTTACTAGAATGTATTTGTTTCCTTACTGAATCATTGGCATACACATTGGTCTTTTCATCCTACTATTTGGGACTAGGTAGTGCTTATTAGTCATTCATTTATATTATTCAGTATTTATCGTAAATCAGATGAAGGACACACTTTATCTGATTAATATACAATGATAATGCTCAAACAGCTGCTATTTTATTTACGAATAAATGGATTTCTGGGTCAATATTGATTACATGAATATATTTCAGATGTAGATAGTTGATAGTCACCAACTATTAGAATATTACTATCAAAAAAATATATATAACTATTTGGTGGTGCATATTCAGTAAATCATTGCACATTATCAGATGGCACTGCAACTATCATATGAGGGTAAAGCAAAGAAATATGTGTTCAAAATATTCATACCAAAACGTGTATCGTTTTATATGTATTTATGGTCTCAATCTTATCTATTTTATAATATGATGTGACATTATCATAAAAACTTCCGTGATGTTTATTCTTTTGATGAAGTCATTTGTATCAGTTTCCTTAATTTGCCACTTAACCCAATTTCCTATCTGTAAAACGAATTACATAATTAAAAATGTAATTAACAGTAAATTATTATTCTCAGATTGCAACGGAAAAGCTCCATGAGACGTACTTCAACCTTCGTGCTGCGGAGAGTAAATGCCTGAACAGCAGCTCTGCAGATGCTAGCCCGGAGCCCTATGCAGCTGATGCCTTTTTAGCTGCACTACGAGATGTCAACTCAACTTTTGAAGGTATAAGACTGCTGAATAAAGACTTAAGAGATAGTTAACCATAGTTCCATAGGCCTTAGCTTGAGTAGCGAAATGGGAATTGTCGTTAAGTCACCAAACCCTGCTGTTACCTTCCCCCTATTGGCTGGTCCCAATCAAGTACCATCCTAGTTAAATAAGTATGATTTTTCGATTTAAAATGTACTTAACTTACAGTTCATATAAATGATTAAACATTTTTCAACTTTAAAGAATATTAAGTATGTCATGTTTTGTGAGTTTAGGTACTTTGCACCTGTTTTTACTCATGCAACAACTGATTCTGATCGTTATCTTGTATAACTATATGACGGCACCAGTTTTTAACCCCTTTGATATCACGAGATTAAGTCTGCATCTATAAGTGCTGATAACATAAAATATGAAAATAAAATGTCATATGTTTTATTTCAATGAACATGTTTTCGGATATCATCAAAATAACGATGTTTTTAACCTCCTTTTTCCTCATAGGAATTGTACCCTAAACACTTTATCTGAAAAAAGACCTTCAACTTACCTCTTAGAAATATTGTTTACTGATGTCAAATATTGTTTAATGTTTGCACATAACTCATTTACAAGTTCAATTGAGTCCTGAATTAAACAAAATGTTATAACATTTTCTAGATTCTCCTTCTAGACTAGGTTCCAACGATCAAATATATTAAAATGTGTTACGTTTAACCTTCTCCGTGAGAAGAGACGCTCAGCAGTGGGAATTATAGGCTATCGATGTGTAAGGTTTAACGTTACATTACAGGTAACAGACAACAAGATGCGCACGAGTTACTGGTGTGCATATTGGACAACATACGAGAAACGTGCAGAGCGCTCAGCGCGCGCGCCAGCCGACTGCAAATACATGAGAACGGTGACAGGTACCTACTTATCAGTTTATTAGTTTGCATACCAAACATGTTTGTCGCCCACGTGGACGACGCCATTGATATCACAGGATAATGGAAGTGTTCATTTTTACTGTAGTATATGAAATTTTGTTTCAGTAACATTACTTTTTGGGTGATTGGCAGAATGTAATAGAAATTGATTAAACTCTGATTGTGTTCAAAAGATTATCATTTACTACAGCAGGTCGTATACGTGACTTGCACCTATCACAGCAGAGTATTATTCTTTATAGAAGAAGTCATTTGACATGTAAATGTTCTGCTACGACAGTAGAGATATATTTGTTATAATTATATTCCTTCTTTTCGTTTCCAGCAATGGAATAGGTCGCCAACCAAGTTTAGAAGGCGACAGTGGGAAGCCGACTCTAGGTAACTTGCGCAAGTCGTGGAAGAAACGCAAAGAAGTGAAAGCCAGCGACAAACGGGCATCACCCACTGACGAGCGTCCACCTTCGCCTGCTGATCTGGAGAAAGACGAGAGATCACGACCCGGGTGGGATTTCGTCGCTGATGATTTCGAAGGTAACAGTCAGAAAGACTTACTTCATTATCTCTTTAAACTGTCAACACCAAGCAGTCACCGGTGACCGCAACCTATTGTTTTATAATTGTGTCTATAATAACGGTACTCGACGAGTTAATTTATAAAAATACTGAATTTGTAGTATAGTTTTACCTACCTAATGCTTGGCACCAATGATTGACCTGTGAATCCTAAGGATTACCTTTGTTATTCGACCTTATGTCTGTAACTTATTATCATACATGTACAGTGCATGCCCTCATTTAACAAAAAATCGTTTTACGTATTTCAGGCACAATGGTAGTACGCACAATGTGTTTAGAATGTGAAGCAGTGACGGAAAAGGCGCAGGCAGTGTGCGAGTTGTGTGTGCCTGTTACTGAAGACGAGACTGATGACGAACCCTTCCGTGCCGCCTGCCTCTCTACGGAGTACCTGCGAGATCAGAATAAGGTACTATCCTTAGCATTACATTGTAAGGTCATCATATCAGCCACTAAACTGACTGAATGACCGACGACTTGTAAGCGAGTATTTTCTAATATTGTCGTAACCCACAGTACTGGTGCGAGCGTTGCCTGCGCTACAACGAGGCGCGGCGCAGCGTCGCATACTCCCGCCTGCCGCGCCTGCTAGTGCTGCAGCTCAAACGGTTCAGCGGCGGCATGGAGAAGATCACTCGCCACGCACCCACGCCACTACTTATGCCCTGCTTCTGTGAACCTTGTGCTAAAAGACCTCCAGAACAACCACCCACGCACAGGTAAGCAAAGTTATTTAAATGAAAATTGAAACAATGTATTTGTGCTTGAGTATTTATTTATTTAACTCGTAAATTCCAGATACATCCTCTGGGCTGTGATCATGCACTTGGGCCAGACACTGACAGGCGGGCACTACGTGGCGTACGCGCGGGACGGGGCGGCGCTGGGCGCGAGCGCGGCGACGTGCGCGCGCGAG